TTATTATTATCATTATTATTATTATTATTATAATTTGTATTATTATTATTAATTATTAATTATTATTCATTATTATTATTATTATTAGTATTACTATTCTTATTATATAAACGTAGTAAATTATATATTGATAAAGCCCCATAATCTTTTCATTTTACTTCACAAATTTAAATCTACAGACTACAGTCACTAACTACTTTAAACCATTCTTGTAGTGGGTTTAGTCTTTAAGGGATAGGGTTCCTTAGATCGTAGGGACATATTTGTTAATGAAAAAGGACTTCAAATGGGTTTTGTTTTACTTGCAGGAGGAGAGTGTAGTAAGAGGGAGCCCTTGGGGTGTGGGGTTTTTTGAAGTGATGATGAACCACCAGGACACTAACCTGACGCTGTCTCTGCTCTCCCACCTGCTCCACCAGGCTCGACAGGTAGGTCACTCTTCTACCTGTTACACCAGGCTCGACAGATAGGTCACTCTCCAACCTGTTCCACAAGATTTCATCGCAAATCACCGTTACGAATTGCCGTAGGTATTGTTGAATCCCTTAATATCAGCTTAGCGTGGCACATACCAGAGTTAACACAGAGTTTTGTGTTTAACTGCATGATATTATTTAGAGGGATCATATTTTCCCATACTCTGGAGAGTTGTTGTTTTAAAGACGTCCAGGAATAAAGTGAGACATAGTGATTAGTGTGAACTTCACAGTGGTGGATCTGTTAGTACCAGGGATACTAGTCTGATGTGGCAACATCTTGTAGCATATATCACCCAAAAGGTTGGGGCTTATATCAATAATCGTTTCTCAGTAGTAATTTGGTGTAACATAATGACATGGTTCAGGTTATAAAGACCCGGCATGTGGTAACAAAAACAAACAGAAGTCGTGTATAGATAACTTATTTCTTATGCTTACTTCTGGATTGCAATTTCAACTCTGATAGAAATGTATATAAAAAAAATGGAGTTATCAAACCCCGATATTGTAAATTTCAAGTTACTTTGACAACAGCTAAGAGGATTTTAGTAGGCCATTAAATAGGCATTATGGCCACAATAACTGATGGTTATTCGTCTTCCTAACATTAATCGAACATTTCCTGCTGGATATCATACACATAACAATGAGGCATTCATATAATTCCACTTCATTAATAATTGACAAAGTTCTTTTTCCGCGCCGACTAGCAAATCCAAGTACTTGCTGACGTGTAGCAAAGTATGGCCCGGGTCGCGTCATAAGTGGTCAGGATTAACTAATTGTACTATGGTTACTTGTGTAATGTATGAAGAATGATCTATGTTATTTGTGTGTCCAACTTATATAATTCATCAATTAAATATCAATTTGACATTATGTGCATGTTTCTGTGTAATATTAGGAAGCTCTTCAGAGGCCATGTTATCTTGGCCTTGAGGTGTATAATATACTTCAAAATGCAGCTTATGAAGCAATACTCCACCTACCTTCTTTATACAATATTACACTACGGATGATTATTGCTTCACTTGGGCACCGATACAGCCCACAACAGTCAAGCAGCTATGACCATAGGTTAAGTATTACTTTCTCATAAAACTTGGCCGTGATAACAAGTCTGCCTGTCTACAGGAAGATGTCTGGCTTCCTAATATTTACTGAAATAAAATATCAACTCTGTCCCAAAACTTCTGGATCTTCATTCGACCACAAGTTGTCTTCATATTATTTATATGATAGTTCTTGAAACTATTGCCTGAGGTTTAGAATTATCAATTAAAGTTAAGGTAAATAATTTTGTTACATTAGAATATGAAATTATTATAATCTCCAACTTTTTTTTTTACGTATTAGCATGCTCTTGTCCGTATTTGATTAAGAACTATATTTTCATGACTTACAATCAAATAAGATTTTGAAATATGTTGATGCATTCCAGTATTTTATATTGTTTATTTTCACAAGAGCGCTTTTCATTTTAATGAAGATTGTAACCAAAAATATAATGTGGTATCCTGACATTTATACCAAAAGTCTAACCAAAGTTTGAGGTGGCCATACATTTATCAAAAGGTTCTGACCTCACCTTCATTCTTGTTTTTAATTTTTATCATACGTAAGGTAAAAAACATTGTGTACCAGTGTCCAACCTACAAACATGTACATATTGCGTCCGAGGATTTCTGAAATGATCAATGCCGCAACTTAACCACCAACATGAACCAGGGGAAAGATTGTTGACATGATTACTACATTTCCCTCTAAGTGTGCGTATATTAACAATACTTACTATGGATAAAACAGAAAATATCACCAGCAAGTAATTTATGGCATTTTGTAATATCCATCGTCTGTGGTGTCAGAATGTTTCGTGCGAATTGTGCACAGGTACTTTTTTGATCGTGTAGACAAGTACACAAAACACCTATGGCCAAGTTATCTTTAACACTAAAGTAATAAAACGCACAATAATTTATACTGTTTACACGTTATATACACTGTTATTTTTTTCATGGTTCTAAATGTTGAATGGCGTCATTGACAATTAAATACTTCACATGTTTTGAAGAATTTTGTTTTGCATCCCCACTTCTTCCATTTTAAGGTAAACTGATAGAACATAATGTAGTGACCTGTTTAGCCCACATTTTATAGCTAATGTGTTTGACGTCGCTTAACTTATTAAAATTCCATTTGTATTTGTAACCATGACTTAGGGTGATTGTTTATTTGTTTGTTGCTCCCTACGTGTGGCTCTCCCTATGCACTACAGAATGAGAGACTATGGATTCATTTGTACATTTGCCCACAGGTATAGTGTTCCACCCCTCGGTGGCCTTTCTAAACATGTGGCATCGTCAGAATAACTTTATGAATTAATCGGTAACATAAGGAAAGCAGTTGCCAACAACTGCTCTCCTCACGCTACTCATTCAATCAAAAATGATTCCGACTCTGCCACATGTTTGGAAAGGCCACCGAGGGGTGCACACTATACCTGTGGGCAACTGTACATACTTCTGAATGTCTCAACCCTTAAGGAACTTGTTTTGATTCTTTAACGATTATAGCCTAATGAGCTATATTAGAGATGCCAAAATCGTTAGTCCTGTTAGGTATCCATTTATCTACCGTAGATACGATATATAACAACTTCAGCTTGTTCTCTTCCTTTATACAAGTACATTTCTGTGTTTATACTAGACACCAGAGGCTGTAACACAATTTAGAGCTACACAAATTGCTAAAAACTTAGTACGCAAAATGGAGACCCAGTTGTGTTATGCTGGCACCTTCCTCAGTACAGATGCCATCATCAGCTGTCAATAACTACACTTTCCACTCTTACATTAGCTTCAGGGATGTTTTGCTCTATAATGAAGTCATGAATGTGCTCAAGAGTAGTAAACTAGCATTGTGGTGAACAGACATTAAGCCATAGGTTGCAACTACCAACACTGGTGGCCACATTAGTACTGGAGACACAGTCCAAGTTTTTGACACATATTCTCAATTAATTTTCACACTGATGCATTGTCGTTGTCTTGAAGTATTCGTCCGATAAAGTTGCTATAATAATTAAGCAAAACTACAGTCGCCCACACTTCCACTTGGTACAGTAAGCATTGCCAATACTCTCTCTACGTCACAACAAAACTTAATAAGAAATTAATGACAAGGACAGACCTGTTTGAGTGCATGCAACCTGCCGTAACTGTAAAAAAAAATAGAGAAGAAATTTTTATACAACTTGAATGGATCCCCAACTAAACAAATATGTTTACATCTGTAAGTATTTTTCACCTCCGAACTGCTGATGTCATATGGACAGGACAATAGTCATATATCTTGAAGTTTCTTCTTACAACCTTTACGATATACTCACACTGCATAATTAAACACCAAATCATTTTGTCAATCATCCTCTGTGCTGTTATACCCAGTTACGACGAATCCTTGTCACAAATGTGGGTACTAGTGAGTCATTACTCGGTCTTGTCACAGGTGAGGATGGGGTCTCGGTGTGTGCGGGTGGTGGTGGTGAGTCACGATCCGGTCTTCCTCGACACCTTCGCTGAGTGGTCCCTCAAGGGCCGCCTCCTGGTGTGGGCCACCAAGTTGCTGGTGGTCACCAGCCTCCCACTTCCACAGCTCCACGCCGTCCTGTCCTCCCACTGGACCTTCTCCATGATGAACACCATCTTGCTCAACCTGGAGGACACACCACCCAACCTCAGGTAATATACACAATGAACACCGTCTTGTTCAACCTGGGGAACACACCACCCAACCTCAGGTAATATACACAATGAACACCATCGTGTTCAACAGAGGGGACACACCACCCAACCTCAGGTAATACACAATGAATGCTCTATTATTCAACCTAATGAGCACTTTAATGTCTACTGGGATTAATTTTACAATACAATTATAGTGAAATAACTGAATTCATAACAAATAGAGAGTTGAGTACTATCAGATATATTGCCATGTAAAACAATTTGTCCTAGAATTACATATGGAGTAAAGCGCCAAATAATCTGCAGTTACACCATAAAATGTGAGCTTTGACAAAAAAATTACTGCCATGCAGCTTATATTTCTTAAGATATATGACTCTAATGTAGAGTCGACTGTACTGTCACGCACCGAGCAGGTACAGTGTGTACACTCACCTGCCGTACAGTCCAGAAGGCGCCCAGGTGTTGCTAGTGGCTGTGTGGACACCAAGACACGGCCTCCGCCTCCTCACAGCCCTGCCACTATTCCCTGAGAAGTTCTCTAAGTATGTGTGACAGTGATGTGCGTTACTTTATGTGTAGGTTTTTTTTTTTTTTGCTCATTCTTGACTTTATTGACATTATTGAAGATTATTATTACAATTCTCATTTCTCTTTCATTTTCAATAATTAATTTTATGAGTTTCGTGATACTTTTTTACTCGTCTTTGACACAATTCCAATCTTACCTCTGGTTATCAGGAATCATTTGCCCTATATCGTTAAACTGTTGATAGGAGTCTTCACTGAGTAGCTACATTAAAAATTCATTCATATATACTGTACAGTACATCTAGTCGTGTTTTGGGTATTGCTTAAATTCTGCCCCTGGAAGTAATACCACGTTGGAAATACTGCTTATTTGTATGATCAGCGAATTTAAGCAACGTTGGGTCTGGTTAGTACTTCTTGGATGGGTGACCGCCAGGACCTAATAACATCAGATGCTGCTGGCAAGGACTCTACTGGAAACAAATCTTGTATAACTTTATCAACTGTCCTTGGTCAAATTGATTGAATGTCAATTATTATTATTATTATTATTTCTTTTGTTGTTATTATTATTATTGTTACTATTAATATTTCTATTATTATTATTGCTATTATTATTATTGTTGTTTTTGTTATTATTATTTTTATTATTGTTATAGTTATGTAGGAATTTCACTTTCAGAAAATACTAATTGTCACAATGAACTTCATGAGAAACCTTTCTTTGTAACAGTAATATAAACAAAATTGTCCTGTTCCTCAGCTTCCATGGTGCTGAGGTGAACGTGACGGGGAAGCCTTGGCCGCCATACTGGGTGGAGGAGCAGCAGGAGGCGGCTGACGGGAGCCTCGTCACCATCTACACAGGCTGTGACTACCTCTCCCTCGAGACTATCTCCCACACCCTCAACTTCACTATTAATATCATTCCTACAGCTTCCTGGGAAGAGGTAAGGAAATTACTGTTCCTAACTCGAGTTCAGGTTTGATATTATATAAATATTTTCACACGTTGTTACCGATTTGAAACGGTGAAACTATGTGACTTGAATGAGACATGTCTGTTTGTAGAAATTAATAATATGGGCTCAGTCAACATTTGTTGATTTTCTGCTTTGAATAAAATTCGAAGGAACGTTCTACAGTAGATAAAATCTTAGAGTTGCATTAGTGCGATTAGTGACTAGCTGGTCTTTAGTGCTCCCAGAACATCGGGTATGTAGGTCACGTTCATTTGTGAAATATTATATCTTTCGATTTTTAATATTAACTATAGAGAATAATTAACTCACTTTAAATCGTGAGTTAAGTGACTTAACACAATTCAGATTCTAAAAACGAGTCACCCTCACACACACACACACACATATATATATATATATATATATATATATATATATATATATATATATATATATATATATATATATATATATATATATATATATATATATATATATATATATATATATATATATATATATAATCAACGCACAGGCTTTGTGCGAAATATAACAGAGTCTAGGACTGCTTTTAGTGTCCTTGTGGGTTGGTCTGTAGCGTTCCCTAGTCCCACCCAGTAGGTCGAGGGTTCGCTTCCTGGCTGGTGAGGTCGTTGATTATATGTTCAAAGTCCTCATGTTATATGGACTAAAAATGAAGTATATATATATATATGTATATATATATATATATATATATATATATATATTTATTTATATTTACATATATATATATTTACATATATATATTTACATATATATATATATTATGTATTGTTACGACCCTGTTGTATTTTTCTATTTTTTTTTATATAACATGTTTCCATGTTGTTCCATATTATTCCTGTAATGATGCATTATAATTACTATTATATAATCTAGTCACCTTACCCTGTGCTGTTAAGGTTTTAACTGTTATTATTTGTTCAAGCCCATCTTATTTCTTCATTTAGTATTGTAACAAGCATTCTTTGTTCTCTAATGACCATCTGCATCATTGAACGACTCATGTTTCACTGGCTGGCTGCTCTCATTGGAGGGAAACTACCCTATATATAGTAGTCCACCAACTGACCGAGTTCAGTCCAGTCCTCCTTGTCATTCAGTTCACGTTCTTTTGTGTTCATACATTCATTATTATTCTGCCCACCATAATAAAGTCAAACAGTCAGTATTTTCAACAATGTTTTTACGTGCCTTGAGAATTTGCAGTCCGGAATTCATCGATGAGGAATACAAATATATATATAATATTGGCTCAAACCTTAAATACCCCAGATCTTTCATAGACAAATGCTTACACATTACTAAGAAAACTTTTTATAGAACTGACCCCAAGCCCACCCATGACCATAAGAATATCTTAATATTACCATTTCACAAAAATTTCTCACACATTCCTGCACAGCTAAAAACCTGGAACGTCAATGTGGCATTTAAAAACTCATGCACTGTTAAACAAATGTTAATCAAGAACTCCCCCAACAACACAATTGGTTGCATTTATAAAGTTCCTTGCAAGGAATGTAATATGTTTTACTTAGGCCAGACAGGTAAAGATCTTGCAACTAGAATTAAACAACACAAATACAGTGTTAGGACAGGCCAGGAATCCAATGCTCTGTTTGTTCATTTGAGGGATAACAAGCATTGCATTGACTGGGATAATGCCTCCTCAATATTACCATGTAATTCAATTGATAGTAGGAACAACATAGAATCTAGTCTTATTAAACATACCGAAGCATCCAACATGAATTTGAGTAACGGCTTGTACAAGCTGGACAATTTTGTAATTAAGAAGATTTGTGATCAGGTGAGAAGGCCGGGTCACTTGACCATCTGACCTGACCACCAACCGTTGTGTGCTATTTAAAGATTAGTAAGGTCATTACCTAATACCTGACCATTGTGGACCTGGTCTCACCCTCCTCTGTATATATACACCTTGATTTGTATTACTCTCTCTAGTCTGTACTCACCCCTGAAGATGTGAATTACACGAAAGCGCTTGGGAACTTCGTGTTTTCTTCTTTCCTTGTGGTTATCAGCATATATATATATATATATATATATATATATATATATATATATATATATATATATATATATATATATATGTATATATATATATGTATATATATATATATGTATATATATATGTATATATATGTATATATATATATATATGTATATATATGTATATATATATATATATATATATATATATATATATATATATATATATATATATATATATATATATATATATATATATATATATATATCACAGTGTACATGTATTTATGTGGGTATAAACTATCAATTTTAAAGTACTTAATTCATAAAGACAAAGTTATTTTTTATAAAATATCTTTTAGCGTCGACGTAACTTGGCTACTCAGATGTAGTCCAGCGTGATATTATGTCTTTACAAGGTATTATGCACAGGTGACTAAGAAAATGGTCGAGCGAGAGGCATTTATCGCGGCAGTATTCCACGTAGCTCTGAGAGAGCGATATAAGCGGCACGACTTCACTTACATCTTCGAGTTTAATCAAATGTCATTTGCTCTGGCCAAGCCCGGCCTGAAGCCCCGCCTGGAGAGCCTCTACTACCCGCTCACCAACGAAGTGTGGACCGGGGTGTTGGTCGTCGTCCTCCTCATGCCCGCCATTTTTTATGTGGTATGTACTATGTCTTCAGGGTATTAGTTAAATAATGCCAACAATTTACATTCGGCAATATCAATAGTTCCAGTTTGAGAATTTCGCGTGTGTGTATGTAGGGGCGTATTGCTGATAACCTTACCTACCTCGTCTTCTCCGGAAACTTCTCGTTCAGGTTCTTTACTAAAAGAACTTTATCGACATATCTTTTTACTCTTCTCAATCTTCATTGTTTGTCCTGATAAGTTTATTGTTTTTCCTCCAATTCTATCAATGATAACTCTGCCTTTCCTATATAATATTGATATTCATTCTTATATTTCCCCTTTATACGGGAGAACTTTTTATGATGTCTACAATACCGTTATTACCTTCCCTCTGCCATACATAGCCTGTACTCTTGTGTCACTAACCTTAGCTTATATTCGTTTTCATTTTTCATACGCGTGCACAAGCATGAATAAAATAATAGCTACTGAAATTATTATATAGTAATTCATAAGACTGTCTAACATGTTATATAATGTCGCAGGTCAGCAGAGGAAGAGAGAAGCAGGGTGGACGGCTGCGGGTGGGAGCTGAGGTGCTGGAGGTGATGGGGATCCTGGTAGGCCAGAACCTGCCACAGCAGCTCCCACCTATCACCTCCGGCCGCCTCCTGGTGGTGGCGTGGCTGGTGTTCGCCCTCATCATCGGGACGGTCTACCGTGGCAACCTCACAGCCGCCCTCACGCTGCCCAAGTACCCACCCCGGCCAGAGACTGTGGAACAGCTGGTGGACACCGTTCATAGGTAGGTATTCCTTACGTGAAAAAAAAAAAACCTTGACAGCAGACATAAAGTGATTACGTGGGTAATGTAATCGATAACATTAGACTTAGAGTTGCGTTTACCATTAAAAATAATATAATTAAATACAAAAATGATTACATCACATGATCTTGATTACAATTACGATTATTTCCAAAGAATTCATGTATTCTATTCCCACGTCCTATTAATATAGAAATATAAACATTAATTACGAAAACCGCTTTAACTGTGGAAGTTGAGTGATATATCATGTGTGATGTGGTAACGATATTTTTCCTGTGTACCGTAGAAGCATTTACATTGGTCCTGTTGGCTGTTCTAGATGAAGAAGCACGCTTGTATAATGCCAGTATTGGCTATTGTTGTGCCATGTTTAGCATCAAAGTAATTTCAAAGCGAATTCATTAATAACATTTTAATAATATAGGATCCCATCGAGATATACAAATGTTTTGCTTGAATGACAAACCCAGAGAGGGAATGGTCAATTTACCCTGAAATTTATTACATTTACAATGGCCAAGTTAACGTCGCACATCCTTTTACGA